CCCCCCGCATTTTACTGTAAACTTGAGTGTAAGTATTTCCTTTGGGTACTCTATAGTCAGTGATTACAGCATCAGAGGGGATAAGATGCTTACCAGCTCCATTAGCACACGAACTTTTAGCTTCAGCACAAACATTCAACTCAATTTTTCTGTTGTGTGAATCACTGATGACATAGCCAGACTCTCGCTTTAGTGATGTCAAATCAAAGAAGTGGCCTGTAGGCAGATCAGGGAATAATTTAATATTTTTTTCAGATTCAAAATCAAGACATTTCTTAATAGTGAAAGCTTTCAGTAACTTAATTCAGTAGGAAGGTCAACCAGCCTCTACCTGTCTGCTAGCTTAGAAAGGCAAACAGTTACTAACTCATTAATAGAGGAAAAACTAGTTACAGAACTACAGACTATTTCTGTTCCAAGATACTTTATTATTTATTTTTGTACCTTACAAGATATTTCTACCCACCAATAAGGTTGTCAGTCTCTATCCAGAGGAGGTATCACACCACCCTTTTCTAAAGAAGGCCCTCAAGAACAAACACAGCCGTGCTGCTTCCAGCAGCCTCTTCCACACAAAAAATCCCAAGGCCTCCTCCTTACCTGTTGCAGGATTGGTTACCCGGCAGTCATCTTGCACGTTGCTTTTAAGAGGACATGCAGCAGCAGTGAACCATAAGAATGTATATTCACAATCTTCAATGGCCGTTATAAGTTCTGGTTTCGATCCCTAAACATGAAACAGTGGAGAGAGCAACGTCCCTACAGAGTAATACTGTAAGTTTTCATGCCATGGGGTTATCCCTGAAGCCTGTAGCTGAGCTCAATTCAAATGCCAGTCCTAGGACTTAACAGACCATCGTGGTCCAGCGAATTAACCCAAGGACAGTGTATTTAACTGTGGCTATTTTAATACACAACAGTACAGAACCATTACCAGGAGCAATACAACTGATGAGGGGAGAGGTAAAGGCACCCTAGCTGAGCAACATAGAAAATCCAAAAGGTGCGGGTAAGACATCTCACCAAACAGAAGAGTACTTAATGGCAAGGCACACAGACGTACAAGAGTTAAGAACTGCACAGCCAATAGCACTATTTACTACCTGAAACACTTCCCATTCTGCGATACATCTGTCTTCAAGACACAAGCAGACAATTTGAAGCTACTACAAATGATAAAATCTGTGCTAGCAGATTGTACTAAAAGATCTCCTAAACACTGCTCAGCATCTGAAGTTCAAGTACTTGTAATCCAGTTTGCTTATAAGCCCGGCTCCCATCCAGCTGCAGACAATCAGTGAAAGGATAACTGCCCACTATTCTCCATACACATACAGTGGTATGAACAACTCAGGAAAACATAAAACCCCACCAGAAGGAGCCCACTTACAATTTTGTTTTCATCACACTTGAGGCGCAGTATTGTTGTTTTCTTGCGAATTTTATCTGGACACTGTTCCCCGTTAATATATTTCAGAATAGAAATGCCATTTTCCCATCGGGGACCATCAGCCACTTCCCCAAGACTTGTACATTTTGCACCCTCCATGAGGGAGGCAGCAGCGTCAGAAGGACAGGAACCTATACAGATGAAAAAAACTGCATTATTACTCCAAATGTTAAGGCTTACTTGCTTGGAATAAACTTCACTACTCCAGGTAAATCATGGTTGATCTATCTTCAAGGAACTGTCCAAATCATACTCAGTGTGGTGTTTTTTTCCCAAAAAAAACCCCACCACATGTAGCAACAATCACCTCACCTCACTCAAGGTCATGCAGAAGGTAACAGCGGCTACTGCTGGGCAAGTAGACCACCACCCAGAGTAAAAGGCTAGAGCCTGTTACCTAGGCTTCCACTGCACTAAATGTGGAGTCTGTCAGAATACACCATACAGAAAATTTTGAAGTTAACAACTTGCACCAAAAGACTATTTTAATTTTTAAGAGATATAGCAGACTTTGGATAAGGATGGAAGAGCTAGAGTGATAAAGTTATCAATAGAAGATAAGAGCCACTAGTGAATTTCATCTGTCAAGCAGATGGAAATCAGGCCCACAATCTACCCTTCCCTCTAGTGCCAAAATTACACCACTGTCTCCACATACTTTGCTTTGTGATTTTTTCACTCTGAACAACAGCCAACAGTACTGTCCTACCACTTGCCACCCCTAGGTTGTGAGAATAATTTTGCTCTTACGTGCAGCACCATATGGTACTAAGGGCTTGCAGACATTAACATAGTATTTCTGTGTAGAAGCAGACACAGCAATTGCCTCCCAGTTCTCTCTATGCCGTGTCAGAGATGAAAAGTCATAGAAGTTTCCTTCAGCATCCCTGTAAGAAGGACAAAGGTCTCAAATTAAGAGGCATTTAAAAAAAAAAAACAACAAAAAAAACCCAAGTAATTGTAAGTTACAATTCTTAAGTTACTCCAGTAACTTTTAACCTAATAACTCTATAAGCAGAATATCATGCTGGAAAAGAAATCTGCAGACTCACTGCTCCCTACAAACCTCAAATTCATTACAGGGATATATCACTGTACCAGCCATCCCCACAGTAACCGGCCACGTGCACAGAGCCCTCAGACAATGCAAGAGTAATCCTGACTTTTCATTGAAGCGCACAGGCTTTCAGTACAGGCAAGCACAACTGCACAGATACAGCAGATTGTTTTACCTTAGGGTAGAAACCTATCATGATGCCAAATGTCAAAACTCTGGGCCAATTATTAGCCACATTTGACCCCAATTATCAAATCTTAATGAGCTAATACTTGTTTGTGACACAAACAGATGACACTTTTTCTGGAGCTTTGTTTGGTGGAAAGTCCAAACAGACAGAAGTCTCATTCTTGTTTAAATTAGCTAAATAATAACTAGACACTTGTAACAACATACTCAGAGTTCAACCATCAGAGTTCAATCATCAGTAACTGCATAACCAACAGTTCACTCTGGTACTGAGCTTATTCCCTAGAAGAAGCTCAAAGAAAATATTTTTCTTCAGTGAAATTAGTTTTAGGAAGTACAAATTGCAAAAGTTACTTAAAATACATTGCATTGGCATTGAATGCCACAATAACTGGTCACTGACTAAGCCAAAACACAATAGCTAAAGTGGCAACGCTGCACTGAGTTGCAATAAGGATGTATTTGTTTCTGTCATCACACATCATTCATTTTAAGTTTGTGGAAAGAACTTACTTGTAGGAGCACTCAGTAGATTTAACAGGAGGGCAAGCATACTGAGTATGCCATTCAAACATGTAGGTGCAATCTGGAGTTTCCTTCAGAAATACAGGCTGAAAGAACAAAATACAAAAGGGATTTACTTTCTCATTTAGACACACTGAAGCTACCAAAATGTGTCTGTCTTGCTTCAAGAAGATCCAGACACTTGTATTTACACACTATCTTAGAGCCACACTATGCCTCTGACCAGCTGAAAGCATGGCTTCTCCCAAACCTGAGTTTATCCACACACATTTCTGATAACAGGGCAGCCATTAGGAGCTTCTGCTTCCTCCATGAAACACAGGGAAGAGCAAAAGTAACTCTAGGCACCATGGAAAGTACAAGTACAGAGAGATACCAAAAGCAAGTAACCAGCTTATTTTGGTCTGGCCACGTAATACCTGCTTTCCCGCAGATTCATCCTCCTGGCTTTTATTTCTTACAAAGAAATGTCTGTTATTTCTGGGAGAACATCCCTTCCCAACACCTCCAAGAGCTTTGCTAATGGCAGGCATCCCTTAAAGGAACAAGATGCCCTGACTTTCCTGGGGCATGACAAAAGGTACCTTCTGCAAACAGGAAATTCAAAACATTCCTCATTTTTTACCACCTCATGGGACCTTTCAAGCTCCTGCCTATTCTGTAAGTGATTAGGCAGTCCTTGAAGGAAGCTAGTTCATGTTCTTTACCTTACCCTTCCACACATTAAGAGGAGGGCAACTCTGAAAGACAGTACATACAGGAAACGTACATTTTGAAACTAACCTCGGATGTAGCTTTATCACAATAGAATAATATGGCAGTTGATCGTTCGTATATTTTATGACATTTTTCTCCACTGGTGTAATTAATCATTATTAAACCATTTTTGAAAGTCAGTTTTTCTGTAAGCAAGCCTAGAAGCAAAGAATTGAGAAAAGTAAACAGCTCAGCCATAATACATGACTGCTTTAATGCCTCTGGCAACAGGGTTACACAGACAGCAACAGCATGCACAATAAAGTACTGACAGAAAGATCCCAACCTTCCTCTAAAACTTGCGACCTAGTAATTGAATGAGTATTACTCCAGTACAGTAGGAGTTGAGCTCATTCCTAATTGTGTCAAGATAGCTACACACATGACATTTTATTTGCACATGAAGCAAAAGCGGTGGGTGCTTTATCTCCTAAGATGTACAAGACTAGCAAGAACCCCTCTTGTATCACATAGTAGCTTCAATTACACCCTCATTAATCTTCCCATTCTCTTAAGTTCCTTCCAACCAAGTGCTATACCTGATACTTTTCTGAAAGTACTGTCCATCTTCTTTACTTGACACGACGACACACCGCGAGTGTCTGGTTTGCAAGGTTGTGTTATTTCTCCACAAACTCTGAAGTAGTAGTCATACTCATCTGTACTCACTTTTATGTCTTTATTGGAAAGTGGCTTCAGGTTATAAACATGACCATACCTTGGGTCTTTCACCTGGCAATCTTCTCCTTTAAAGAAAAGTTAAGATATTAAATTGTATTTTGAATTCTATTGCCATACCAAATACACACAGGCCAATTAACGCCTACTGGCTCAGACAAGGCCACAAAAACGAGTGGCAGGCACTTTAGGGCAGTAACACTGAAGAACTGTTTGAGTTCAGCTAAGCAGCTTGCTGCAGAAGTCAGCAATATCCAGAACTATGAGATTAGGCTACAAATGGAACATTTCTTTTACAATTGCCACTACAGCAAGATGCAGAAGTCACACTGTAGTTCAAAAACTACTTCAAAGTGGCCTCACAGGTTCTTCCTTCAGCCATGCTGAAGTTTAAGTACAGAACCGGAGACACCAAGTCCAACACTTGCTTAATTATCTGGAAAGAACAGCGAGGTCACAAGGACAAAGCAAAAGCCCTCCTAGGTGTCAGTCTTGTAGCTTCTTTTAACAGCTATGAAGTTTGCCTATTTAGGAAATAATTGATCATACAAAAGGTTAGCTACAGCTTGTGGGTCTACCAAGATGTACACAGTAAAGGTTTGGGAAAATTCTAGTTTCATGAGTCTAATCAGCCGACAGACATCAGTAACTTTGCTGCTGATCAAGTCTTCAGCTTTAAAATGGCTCTTTGCTCGATGCCCTGAAGCTTTTAAAAAAACATCAGATTGTATCATGATTATTATTCTCCCCTCAAGCATCCAACAAGTTGGCACCAAGTTAAAGACATCAGTTTCCCTCCCTTCAAAACCACAAGTTGTCACCAGTGTCCTGCGCAGTAATTGTGAGCTGCAGAGCAGCAGCCTGTAAACATTCCTGTTACACCACTGAGATCACCAGAAGTTTCGATAACATCTAGGACTGTTGTGACAGATCCCCTACAGGAAGTCTAGATGGTTTATAAGGCATTATCTACAAGGTGAAAAACAAACCCCACAAGGGCAGAGAAGATACCTGCATACTAAATTTCCCATCTAAGAGCCAACCAAATACCAGAACTAGAACCTGTGATTCCTTCTTGAATGTCTTGGAGTCAACTGTAAACTATCCCCACAGGTCTCTCCCCCACTGTCTAACAAGGGTCAAGTTTACAGTACAGCTTCCATCCTTCAGTGGGGAACAGGGAATGACTTGCCAGGCATAGGATCAACTACATTCTCATGAAATGTGATGCTTTAATATTTACAAGACACTAGCAAGTCTGCCTGTGATTTAACAAGGTAGTACTATGACTTGTCAGAGACAGCATTATTACTTTATCTTCTCTCCATAGATAGGGAAACATATTTGCCCGTCATCCTCAATGTACTTTTAATGTTGGATGTGACAGCTGGCTTAAAGCTTGGAAAGGACATCCTACCACGAGCCAGCACCTTTTACAGAAAGATTCACAAGGCAAGAAACAAACACAGCTTCAGTAAGTATTTACTTCTTGTACGGATTTGTTTGATGCTTTAAAGCTCAAATAACTACACTTACCTTCTGCTTTATGAACAGGACATGCTGCCAAGGTTCTCCAAACAAATACAAACTCACAGTCATCCTCTTGCTCGAGCACTGGTGATCCCTATAGAAGAGAGCCATATGAAGGAGGCTTACTAACAACTACATTCCAAGTCTCCAAGCATACATGCAGAATCCTTTTTTATTGCAGTTGTACAGTCTAAGATCTCTTATCAAGTATTTCAGTACTCATTTTCAACAAAGAGCTGCTTTTGGTGGCTCACGGGATTCCACGATAACAGTTCACTGTTGTGTCCGAAGGGCTCAGGAAAGCAGTTGTAAGGAAAGACAAGGGAAAAGCCTGTATGCAAGGGACTACATTTTAGAACCAGCCTCTCCATTCCAAGAGGAATAAACACTGTCTATTTTGTTATAGTCAGCCTAAGCTCTAAAATCCTCCTTAATAGCAATTGGCACAGAAAATTACCATTGTTTGATCGCACTGGAAGATTATACGTGTAGAATAACGCTGTTTATCTTTGCATGCGTCACCATTCAAGTAGATAATGCTTAATGACCCGTCAGTAGCAGCCTGTGGGTTCATCTGAATGACTCCAAGGTTTCTGCCTTTATCAGCGTATTTCACACAAGATCCTACAACACCACCTACAGGAAAAAGAAAAAGCCTGTATTTTAGTTCAAAGCTTTGACAAATAGAGTTAGCTTCATTGTAGAATAACATGATGGTGTACTTTAAGAGAGCTCTGAGCATTAAAGCAGACTGTCTCAAACTCCTTAAGTATAACAAAACAGAAGTGTTTGCATGAATACACTTAGAGACATTGTGTAATTAAAGGCTTTGAGGAAAAGGACAAGTTACTGTCCTGCATTCACTGAAACCTTTAAAACCACATTAACTTATCTGCTCCCCCAGACTGACAGAAGACTACAGCAATGGGTGAAATAAATCAAACTGCAAAGTGCAATAAGACATTGGATAATCTTCTCATTCCAGTCTAACTCAGTTAGGAGACTTCAATAACGCTTACCCTTCCTTTCTTCTTTAAAAAAATAAAATCAACGATACTGGCAAATACTGCCCTTAATGCATTTTTTGCAAATGCATTCCCACACATCTCAATGCAAGATTCCTGATGAGCACTAAGACTGCTCTTATTTTGAGACAGTGTTTATTTATAGCCTTGACATACCTCACCCAGATCTATGCAAGTTCAGTGACTGAACAGGCAGGATTCAAGAAATCCTACCAAAATAACGAGGGATGTCATTCTGCGTACAAGATCTCACATCAGAAGTCACAAAGCACAGAAATGCTTGCCACTTGGCTTACCAGGGCATCCATGCACATAGGGCAGAGGCTTGCAGACATTCAAGAAAAACGTTCGCTTCTCTGCTTCCTTTGAAGTGTCTATAGCAACCCATGGCTCCCTCTCTTTGCTCAAGTCACTTAAGTCATACTCATTGCCAGCAGCATCTGAAAGAGAGGTGATACATACAGTAAGCTGAAAGAAGACTTGCTAGATACTTGCAGCAGTATTGGGTTTGAAACCAAACATAGAACAGAGTTCCCTTGACACTTACTTCCCACAAGTTACTCCACAATTCACAGATGCATTTTTCCAGAGGCCAATATTAAATTAACCTATTTTCTTTAGAGTTGGGCTGAAGCAGTACCCAGTAATAATAATGACTAAAGGTTTTCAAAGTAATTATCAGCTCTCTTGTGTATACCATGATGTTCCACGTTAGCTTCTTGCCTGTCTTCATAAGCTAAGCCTGCTTCAAACAACTTACCTCCTCCTCTCCGTCTCTACAACTTCTCTGAAGACTTCAAGTCTTACAAATGTCTTCACAATAGGTATTCTTAAAGCCCTCCTCTGTACAAGTTTGCTGTTCAGTTAATCCTTCCAACATTTGTTGGACGGAGCCCTGCCAAATTCTAGGTACTTACCTGTAACCTGGCAGTCTACAGGAGCAGGAGCACAGGCCAGAGCTGTGTGAAACTCAAAAAAAGTATCATGGATGTTCAGCATGCTGTTTATCTCTTCACGCACAAACTTAAGCTCTCCAGGATATGAATCATTACAAATGAAAGTCACCACGAATGTGTCTGATGTTCCTGTAAAACAAACACTTATCTGCTGCTGGTTCACTCAGGAATATTTGAATTTAAGTTCAAGCTAACACTTGGCTTTAAAATTTACTAACAGTTTCTTATTACTAACTGCTTCAAGGAAAACCCTATCTTATTGTTTATGATTTTTTAACTGTAAATACACAAGGCTTCTTTAGAGACCTGGGTTAAATTGCCTAACAGCCACAACTGTCTCTAAAGTGGGAGACCAGAATGCCCCAACACATTTCAAGAGTGTAATCACTTTCACCGAATTGTGCTTCCTAGGTCTTTGACATGATATATTTGAAGAAATAGAAAACCTATAAAACATTGTCATGCTGTACCAGCAATCTCTAAATCACATCACACATAGCAAAGTTTTGGGGCTGGAGGTTTAGTTTGTTTGCAAGAAGCTCAGTGTAATGACTGTAGAACAAATAATGCTGATACTATTTAAGCAGCATATGTTAAGTTCTGTTTAGTTCTCCTTTCCACAGCCCACAAGAAATGGTAGAATTATGGGCAGGAGATGTATTTGTCATCAAAATGGTTAGCAGTATTATCAAAATGGTAAAAGCTCTCAAAGCAAAATACATGAGAGCTCAATCACTTGCTTCCCTTTGTATATTAGGTATGAAAATGTCACAACTGGGAAAATAAGAGATTTCACCATAGCAATTTGCACAGAAGATGAACATGCAGGAGCATCTGAGATTTCTGAAGCCAAAATCCTGTTTCCCTAAAAACCTTTTGTTGTTAAGATGTCACATGCCTTTCTATGAAAACTCAGTTTCAGTACAGTTGGAGAGCACGCAAAATGCGAAAGCTAGATACACATTTTTCATTAGTCTTATCTGCAAAACAGACTTAAATTCATGAAGTAGGCATACATGAAGTACTAGAGCATTCATTTAAGAAATTTCATTCAAGAAAGGATAAGCTTACTGAAAAAAGACCTTTCAGATATGAAATAATTTTAGAGAGCATTATTCATGAAACCAAGTCTTAAAACAATAACTTCACATACAAGAGGAGCCAGAGTTCATTTGGCTTGTCCCAATCTGACTACCCATTTCTCCATGTGAGGAGCAATATTTTTCATCTATTCAGGAAAAAAAAAATCCTGTAATATATTTGGCCTCTTCCCAAGAGTTTTGAAATGCACATGTATTGCTAAAAACTGAGCCATTACCATTCTGCACAATTTTGTTTCTTCCAGAAATTTTCATATGAATTAGTTTGTTTAGGTGACTAACACCAAGCCCAGTTGGTTTTAGTACATGAACAAAGGAAGGAATGAAAACCATTCACTGAGTTTGTACAACATCAGCATCCATCTCCACTGCATATTTCCTGAACTCACCTGATTGGACATGAAGAGGACCTCTGTAGGTAAGAGTTAGAAACCCTTCACCAGAAAGATACAGGGTTTTGTCCAATTCCACCAGCCTCACCGATGTCAGATTTTCTGCTTCACATCCAGCAGCTATTTTGTCATTGATTTTACCACAGTCTGGCATGGGCCCACAGATGTTTAGCTAGAAGTTTTGAAAACATGTAGGCGTACACAGTATTAACTCCATCAGAAAAATTAGGTCCACATAGCCATTTCTACATCAGTAAAACTCACTTGTCAAGAACTATTTCAAACAGCATGAAATGTCTATCATTTCTAGACTGCAAGACAACCAACTGTAATACAGGAACAATATCTTCAACTTTCAGCTTACAGGGTCCACAAATTCTCCCCACCAGAGTACAGGATGTGGTTTGGCAAGTTTATTCTTAGACAAAAATACACTATGGTGGTATCTGTGGACAGCCTAGGACTACTGATTGCATTAAGAACACTGATACGGACAGATTAAATCCCTTTCTTGGCTTCCACTCTCCATTTCTTCAGCATCAGCAGATAAACTAGTATTACATAGAGTCCATAACTGGAAAACTATGCATAGCCTCAAAAGCATGGCTACCTTATGTTTGCTAAGAAACAGAAGTTTGATGCTTTTAAGACCATCTGAGATGAATCAAATTATCTTCCATTCCTCCCCTCAAGCACAGTACTCTCCTGCCAACTCACATTTCATAAGAGGATTGAGTCAAAGCTCCGCTTGCTCACTAAGCAAGATTGGAAAAATGCAACAACAGCATCCATAAGCAACAGACTGTACAGTCAGAATCCTTACCAAGAACTTCTTCCCAATGCCAGTAGCCATATAGCCTTTTTCAGAAGCCAGTGGCTGCAGATTGAACAGAAAGCCAGTGTTTGGATCTCTCACAGAGCAGGACTGAAAAAAAAAAGATTACGGCAGCATTATCATCTCCTTCTGTGTTTCTTCTGTTGAAGTTTTACCTCCAACTTGTTAAAGTGCCAGATTAGTGATTTACATGTATTCCCAGTCTGTATGATAATCGTCAACTTAATCTGGACAAACACAATACAGCTCTGGCAGTAGCAAGACTCCATTCAATTCTTTCGCACAGCTGTCCATTGACATCAGCCACATACCAACATATCAAAGTGCAATTTAACAGATGACATCTATCAGGGTAGTCAAGAGCAAGGAAATTTTAACAGAGTTGTTTTCACTCTAATGTGCTTACATTGAGGCCTGTAAAGTAGAAGCAACTAAGTAGCTCAGTGTAAAAAAAAAAAAGAGGTTCATTTGATGATCTCTACACAAACAAGGACAGTATATATCCTTACATATAAACTCAGTTTTACTAGCAACCTTGTAAGTGAATGAAACATTCGGTGCCACAGCAAGTAAAGTGTTCTCAACAGAGAGCACTTGAATACTTTGGCCAGAAGTTACATGTTTCAGGAACATTTCAAGAAGCAAGCAATAAGGTATCACAAGACTCCATGATCAACTTCAGACTTCACTGCACTTAGTTTTCTCCAAGAGTCACTTAAACACAGCAACCAGGAGTGCTAGAAAAAAAATATTATGTTGACTATAAATACAAATATGTCCACTTCTCCTACCTGAGAATCATCTTTTGTTTCCTTGATGGGACAAGCAGCCTCAGTTTCCCATAAGAACGTGACCACACATTCCTGAATGGCTATAAACCGTGGGCTGCTACTCTGGAAACAGATTGCAGAGAGAAGACCAGAATAAGTGTAACAGCCAAAACCTTCTCATATTTGAGATTCCACTTTATGAGAAACTGTCAGGTTCTTCTAAAAGACTTCACTATAAATACACACAATTCTCACCCCATTTCCCTCTCCCCTATTTATTTTGAAGGTCACTGCTGAAAACTAGCTAAACACTTAGCATCTCACTAAGCTTTAGCAAAGAACTGAATCTGACATCCAAATATTCAGATTAAATTCAATATTGAATCTAGACATGCATAAACAGACCTTGCCTGAGTCTAAGCTTTGAAGAGATTTGGTGTATAATGCACAGTCTATTATTTAAAAAAAAAAGTAAAAAGCAACACAAAACTCTGTTAGCTGAGGTAACAAAGTAACATGACTATTAATTATACACACTTCATTTCAGTGTTTTCAAGCAAAAGCAAAGTAGTTCATAACTGCTCCATGTCACAGATTTTTCACCATACCTTGTGGTCTGAAAATCATGCAAGTGAGGGGAATAAGACCTGCAGGTTCACAAACCAGCAGGAACAAGTCTAGGCAGGCTTCAGCTTAATGATCCCATCAGTCTAAACTTCAGTATGTGAAGCTGTATCAGCAAAAGCTTTACAGTTCTCAGAACTCCTCTAGATTCAACAAGCTACAGATGATGCAAAACCTAAGCCTGAAGATACGCTTTACAATATTCTTCCTCTTAAGAGGGTCTGCAATGTTTACATGTATAACTCCTCAGGCTTAAGTCCCCATGTATTTTTCATGCTAATTAGACTAGTCTGAAATATCACTGTCCACTGAGGCTGTTAGTTTTTAACTAGTTCTTTCTTAAGATAAAATACTTAATTGGAGACACACACTTCTCTAGCATTTAGGTCAGCTTTGTTTTCACATCTCTATTTTAAGTCCTCAAGAAATCTCCCTTGTCATGAATCTGCTACATACTACACCACACATCTGCATGTAGCTTCACGTTATACGATGGAAAACCTACTATGATGCAGCAAAAACGGAAAGATCATTTGTCCTTACAAGAGTGCCTCTGGAACAGATGAAGTGGATGGTGGTGGTATAAGTAGTTTTCCTTCCATCAGCATCAATGCACACAGAGCCATTTGCATAGGTTAGAAAAATGTGTCCAGGTCTTTCAACTACTAGTTCTTTGCTGGCAACACCAAGATTACTAATAGAGGTGACTTCAGAGTAAGAAATCTAGAAATAAACAAAAGCATGTCAGCAATTCTAAACTCAAGTGAGAAGTTACAGTCAAAACGAAGAAAATATCTACCACAATACTCTTGTATACACGAGGTTATCTTGAGAGTTTTGAAGATAACACAGGTGTAGAGATTTCTCTACATTTCTCCCCCATTCTGTACTTAAGTTCCACACATCTAACAGACAAGCTCCACAAACAAGTGCGGTTTGGCTTGGGTTTTTTTGTTGTTTCTATTTTTAGTACAATACAGTAGTGCCTCACAACAGCCACCTGCATTCACCAGCTACACAGCTTAGGAATTTAGGGAGGCCTATGCCTCGTGCACGGTAAGTAGGATTTAATTTGTACAGCTATTTAAAACACAGCATGTGGAAGCCTCCGGGCATTCTTAAAATTGGCCTTAGGGATCTGCCATGGTTAGCAAAGCCTAAAAAGCACTAGCAGAAACTGAGCATTAGAACAACCGCAGGTGCTACTAACAAGGTCCAAATTCATCTTTACTTCCACAAGATGTTTCCTATTTTTAAGAAATTCTTCTAAGTTAGCAACAGCAAGAAACAGAAGAGTATACCTCCAAGCTCTGTCCACAAACATGTCTGCTTTTTTAAAAAAATTTTTAACAATGCTGCATTTAGGTTGATCCAATATGTGCTCACTTTTACTCCAGCATCTTCAGCAATGAATTAATGAAGCCCTGAGGTGTCTCCCCATACAAAGTAAACAGCCTTACACAAGGACTAACTCAAGCATAGGGAACTAGCAATATTTCGCTTGAATGCCATAATGGTGATATACAGATTCAGTCACTCAGGCATCCACTTCAACAGTATGGAGGGAAGGTGTTCTCTCCATTTTACAGAAGGAATCAGGACAGGTTGGTGAGCCTCTAGTTCAACTTTCTCTGTATCTTTGCATAGCACTTGAAGCCAGGCCTTGGGCAAAGCGCCCACCCAGCCTGTTGGCACACACAGTCCCATGATAAGCTGTTACACTTCAGGGAAATATAGAAGCCCATAACCACCAACCCCCCCCTTTTGTTTTTTTCAGCTTGACTACATCTGCCTAATGTACTGCTCAAAGCCAAAGAGAGCTCAGAGGGGGGTGAGAAAGAATCTTTAAACACATTTCTTCCACAGTTCAGTCTAAAACAAGCCAGAACCAAGACAGAATATCCAGGAGAGCAGCCTGTTGCTAAAGCAATGCTAGCAGTCTGAGAGCAACAGTTTACAGAGAAGAGATGCAGTTTGTCAGCCTCTGCAACACAGGACAGAGCATCATGCATGTCAAACGTGATGTTGGCACACTTGTAAAAATTAAAGATTTGGTCTTTGAAGAGATGGACAGGAGGTCTATCATTCCACAATGATTATGCTAACATTACAGATGCACAGAATACCATTCTGCACAAAGAAGCCAGGATTCATGTGCCTATCTTGCATACCCCTTGATCTCACCCAACAAACCAGCTCTGAGCTGGGAGGGGAAGGCTACTCACATCATCATGCCTATATTCCATCTGACAGACAGATGCTCGCCGGTCACATCCTGGGACAGCAATCAGTGGTCGACAAACATTTATGTAGTACTTCTTGCACTCACTTGGCCTTGAATTATCCATGGCGTACCAGTTTTCACCTCTCTTCTCAGATTTTGCTAAGCTGAGCAGGAAGAGAAAGTTCCACACTAAGAATACAGTCTTCATAGATTATCTCTAGCTTTCTATCAGTCTCAGGAACCAGTACAACCATAAGACATTTCAGAATAAATTTTTTCCACTGATTTTTAAGTGTTACAATTAAAAAGAATGTCCCTAGGAAGTAGATCACAGTTGACAAACTAGTAAGTTTTTATTAAGCAAAACCATCCCAAAAAGTCAACTCACATCTTAGGAGGCAAGTCAATATACTAGAGGCAAATCCTGTCTTCATTTGAAGATACTTAAGTTAAGATTGCCACGATGAAGGTTCTAGTGCTGTCTACACAAGAAACGAACTTCATCCAGTGCTAAGCTACCAACCAGAACACTAAACTAGAATAGCCAAGTTATGTTGTTGTCCTAGTTTCATCTAGGATAGAGTTAATTTTCTTCTTAGTAACTAGAATATGTTTACTTTCCTACCTTGACAAGTCATATTGGTCCATGGTGTTGGGATCAGTCACAACACATTCCAGCGGCACTTCAGGACAAGCATATTCAGTGTACCACCTGAAGTTGTAGGTATAGTTATCTTCTATCTAAAAACCAGCAGAGTATGTCAGTGAGGTTTTTCACACAGAACACTTTGTGACTCACAGCCACTCCTCTATACATTAAGCTTGTTATTTCCCCTTGGTTTTCAGATAAACCTTCTCAGACCCATTTGTGTAGGTCTGTTTTGTTGTAGATCTTGTCACTTGCTATGTCACCAAAAACACTCAAAAACACTTTCCAAAAAGAACAGAACCAGAGCAACTAGAGCAATGTAACTGCTGTCTGCTGTGTTACAGGACACACAGTCCTATCACTTATTATTTCTCAGCCAGCTTGGTTTTTTTCAGCTAGAAATACAAGATGACCAAAAGCACTAGTAATTGCATGGCCCAGAGATTAGAGAGAAGTAAGAATCTGGATTCAGGTGAACAGCTTACTGTTCAGTGGTCAAGAGAAGCTTTATGACTGCAACAAGAGGCAGATACACCAAGAGAAACAACTCTTAGTCTGTTTTACAGATATTGGATGTTTCCATCTATTAATCTCTGGCCTAGCAGCAATTATTGTAAGTATTTTGGGATGGAGACCCTTCTCTTCTTCCTATAGAACTTCTTACCTGATACTCAGGCTGACCTATTCCAGCCTGACGGTCACACAGGAAAGTTATAAGGGTAGATCGCTGTGTTTTCTTCTCATCATTGTACGCTGTACCATTTCTGTACGTCAACTGAATCAGGCCATCATAATACGAAAGTTTGGAACTGGGCAATCCAAGATTCCAAAACTGATCCTTACTAGACAAGAAAAAAAGTGGGCTTTGAGACTGAACAGAAAGCAAAATTAATTCTGTCTTTATGAGAAGTCTTAAAAGTAGTAAGTACACACTAAGTTTACAGAAGACAACATAATTAGACAAAACAATCTAATAAGGTTGACTAGATATAAGTGAGCTAGGATGAACAGAGTGCTGCCAAAAGGAAACTTAAAACATGAACAGGTGTCCTTCTTTGGAAAGGAAAGGAAGTTGTACCTTCCTTAAAGACCTAGAAGACTTTTATACGCCCTTCTCTAGAAGGCTGACAGAAATATCAAGTTCCCATTCTCCAGACTAGAAGTCAAGCTGCAGATACCCTAATGTTGGACTCAGACTGGTTCCTTGCAAATACATGCGGACAATGAAGATGTAGCACTGCACACCAGCAAGTCTTCTCACTCGGGGAAGAAAACTACCTTCATGTCCTCTTAGCTCAGGACCAGCTTTGGTTCAGGAGGGTTTCTTTCCTCTGACTGAACACTGGCTCTAGCTGACCTAGCCTGATGACCTTCACCTGAGGACAGTTGTTAGTGTCTGTAGTGACCTCTCCTTGGCTGCAGTGTAACTCAGACAGAGCCAACTCAGCTGTATGTGTTCGCACTGCACCACATCTCAGGCAACAGGCTGACCTGGAACCCAAAGTGTACAGATACTACCTCAGACATAGTTTGTGGAAGATAACAGCAAGGATGCTGTCAGAGTATCAGTACACACCAGGACTGTGCCTGTGCAGCACCTTTAGTAATGGAAATACAGTGCAACACCCAAGCTCCGGGCTCCACCTCTGCATAACGGAGCCACTACTCATCCCGAGCGCAGCAACGCTTCTTTAGGCCAGCTCTCAGAATACAGCTGACCCTGAACCCACAATGTAGGGTGGCTTAATACAGCTGCAGCAGTTAATCTTACAGTCCCTATGGGAAACATAAGGGGGAGCAACTGATACATTCAACCTCGAAAGCTAGCTGTAAGCAAGATTACATGTGTGCGCAGTTTGCTTGAAACAGATGGCAGCATAATTACTGCCCTACCAAATAGCATTTTACATGCAAATTACCTGAATCTATTAGAGGCAGCACAGTAATTATTTTACATGCATATTGTTCACTGTTGCACACAAACAACACATCATGCAACAAGAGATCTTCTATTACAGACAACAGAACTAGAGTTACTCACCTTTGTGTTACTTGGCATGCTGCTGATTTTGTGTGACACAACTCATCTGTCACACTGCCACAGATGTTTATGTAAAACAAGTATTCGGTAGTATTAACTATATAGTGCCCAGTTTTCTTGGCCAGAGGTGATAAATCAAAAGAGAAGCCTAATCAGGAAGGAATAAACTTTATTAGTTCAGTTTTTACCTGTCATGTCTCACATGTTTGGATTCTACCAGTCTCACAACTAGTTCACCTCCCCCCGAATAAGTCTCCTTCCATGTAATTATTAATCCAGAAACAATCTGGACCAACTAAAAGCATGTTCTCTTATACAGAAAGAAAAATGTGCTTAAAACTGCTCAAATGTTGTGGGTGCTCAAACTGCTGATGAACTCGCTTTGTTCTTGTGGATCCAAAGGACCCAGTGTTGTCCCTCACAATCTTTCAGTTTGCTGAACACAAATACATACCTGCCTGAGGATCGGAGACTTGACAGTTACCTCCTTCAGTTTTAGACAGGACACACGCAGCAGCAGTATACCAATCAAATGCATATGAACATACACCCTCAGACATCAAGACTGGAGCACTTTCTAGATCACCTGGTATCACAAGAGCAACATGTTACACATACAGTCAGGCTGCCAAAAAGAACTATGAATCGAAGCCTAGGAACACTAACTCCTCCCCAACAGCAGGCCAAGATTAACGGTTCAAGTACGTCTGCTCTGAAGTCGAGGATTAAATAGAACCAAAAATACTTTGCACAAATTATTTGCATCCTTCTCCCCAGAATAAAAGTTTAGCCCAGAAGCAAAATGCACTGCTCAGTCTTTTCCTGAATACTATCACAATGTTCCAAAAAAAGTTTGCTTTGATACACAAACCTGGTGTTTTGCTACAAAGCCACAGCTTTATTACGAAGTAGTGCATAATCTGATCCCCAGCATTCAGCACACTTGAAGGATTTGCTTCCTCAGGGTGAGGTAGAGGAATACAGGTTTTCTATTTCCTTGGAAGATGGTTAAACTAGTGGGCTATTGTACGGATGATGAACAACATTAACCTCTTCTGAAAATGCTTCTGCTTTTCATAAACTGCAAGCAGTTTAGACACAAAACATACTTATTGGAAGAGAAGGTTCAAGTATCTGATCACAATTCAGAACCAGTCTTTCCCATCAAGACAATCCTTGTATACATCGCAGGTATTTTTTGAGCTTTAACCACTTAAACATACTTTCACCATGTTTAGGAGAATCTTAGCAAGACACTTAACCCACTTGTCTGTAAAGAGTACTTGTATAAAATGTAAACAGAGCTAAATACCTGCAATTACATTGTTATCATGCTAGTAAACAAACCACAATCCTTCAGCTTTTGCATAGAAGGAAATACAAGACAAAGGCACATGCTAATATTTAGCATTCATGTCTGGGCATGTTAAACGACCCCCAGTTTTTAACTGGATGAGAGAATGAAGTGTGGATATTCTCACCTGGTCTGCACACTAGAGTGATGACAGTCTTGATTTTTTTGTTAACACCACAGCTGTCTCCATTTGAATAGGTAAGTTGAATGTTTTCTCCAACCTTTTTAGGAGAAGATACAAATGTTCCAAGATTCCTACTCTTGTTTTGTTTATCTGTAAAGACATTAAATACATCACTTGTTTCCCTTCAAAGAAATGAAGTTTATTAAGAGAATATTAACTAGCCAAATGGAAAGTCTTAGGAAAGCATATCATTAGGAGTTTGTTTTTACCTCACCAAAACCATGCTACAAAGCCTGGAGGAGAATGTAATACCATTCTTTAGTTAGAAATGGCTACCTGCATCATTTCTTCTAGGGTCTTTGGGAGCACAAGAGAAACATGCTCCAATATTCTATTTCCTCAAATAACTGAAGGCACTCAGGGCAGCCAACTCCATTTGCAGAGGAAGTGGCAAGCCTTCAGAGCCTTAAACACACAAAACAACCCCCAAAAGCACAAAACCAAAAAGACTCACCTACAGAGCAAATAGCAGCATCATCTGGACAGCTGGAAGCTCCTCCTCTCTTTAGCACTTTATGGCAGACATTGATGTAATAATGCTTCCTCCCTACCTCCGAAAAGCTACTGTCCACAGCTTCCCAGTTCTGGGCTAATTCTGAAATAGAGGGGGTCATTAGGAACAAGCCATCTGGCTTAATTGTTCTAGCCTCTCCATGCCAAAATGCCTTTTATCACAAAAAAGGACCCACATTTAAACCCACTTAAGATGACAGCAACCAGGGCAGTCAGGGACATCGCTGCTTTCCTAAGGCACTCACTCATTTTGGGAAAAGGAAAATGAACACCAGTACCCCAGAAATTCACTAAGAAAAACAAAAGCTGATCATGTTCAGCTAAGGAATTGCACTAGAGATTATACATAAACTCAGGACAAAAGTAACTGAAAGCTAGTTTTCATTGCCATACCTGAACTGCGGATCAGAGGTGACAAGTCATAGTGTTTTCTCTTATCGGTGACTCTGCAAATGAGATCTTCTTTCTCTTTAACACATGCATATTTTGTATCCCAAGTAAAAAAATAGGTGCAGTCCACTTCACCAGTAAACACTGGAGTTCCTCTACCATCATTACCTTAACATTGAAGATGAATAAACAGATGTTAGGTTACTAGTGGAGGAAGGGGAGAAAAGCAGGGAGATTCGAGGACTGGCAATGAGCAAGGGATATAAAAACACTTCTGCTGCACAGGACTTGTGTTTGTGGCTTCGGGTTTGTTTTTTTTCATTGTTTTTTGTTGGTTTTTTTACTGTTGGCTAAGAAATGAGGCTCTTGTATACCTCAATACTCTTGATCATCAGTGTAAATTTAGAATAGCAGTGCTACCAAACAATCCTGCCAGATACAGAAATTAGTGCTTACTCTAACAATATTTGTTCCTTGTGTCAGCTGTGGCTCAAAGCATGCATTCCTTTGAATATAAAGTCTACTAGCAACCACAGAAGTCAAACCCTGAGCAGACAGCTTGTTCAACTCACCTGCTGTTTCATTGCACTCAAAGTTTATGACAGTCATCCTCTGAAAGCCAGAACTACATGCATCCCCATTCGGATAAATTAAAGTGAGATCCCCATCAGAATACCTGAGTAAAAAGTCAGTTTTAGATAGAAACATGGGATCAGACACAATCACACAGTGTTCTTCATGTAACAGAAGGCACAGTCTTGTTTAGTTATTGTCTCACTCAAAAGGAAAACAAGTGTTTGTCCAACAATAATTCTGACATTTCTACTGCAACAAAGGCTTGCATCCACTGATTCTTCTGGTTACTTTTCATGAATTTGTATAGAGTTTGAAGAATGCTCTAAAGCTATTCCAGCTGTGGTGGAATATCTGTTCCCATCAGTTTATTGCAGGGCTATTTTTGCAGGTGGAGGAAGTCATACTTCCTGAAAGATCACTCTGACAAGTCTGTCATGTGCTTACAGATAGAATGGAAGATCACATATAGGTGAATAATCTCTGCTTTGCAATCTCATGCAAACTATTGTCCCGGTATGACACTTGGAAATCCAGAAATTCTTAAAAAAACCACTCCACAAAATCCTGGACCTCAGTAGTCTTGGATATGATTAATGCATGCCCTTGCAAAGGAAGCAGAGATGCCCTTTTGTTGAGAACAGCTTTTAAAACATCTGATCCTGATGCCACTTTACATGCAAAACTCAAGGAGGGCAAGAGGCAGCACAGAACAATCTGTAATTCTGACACCAAAGTTGGCAAAAGTTTCTTCCCTGTCTATATAATGGCCTCTACCAACCTCATCTGCTCCTTCATTTGCTAATACCACCCTGGTATACCGTTAATGTCTTTCTATAAAAAACTGATCAAAAATACCTGCATTTTGTGCCAAATATTGCTTACATGACAAATAAGGGTATAAAAGTAGGAAACAAAGATCAATCAGAGCAGTTAGCAGGGCTAAAGAGCCTTTACACACCTCAGGGTTTGGTTCTCAAATCTTCCTGCCACTTTTTGCTGGTTATTCGAAGGTTTTACTTGGCAAGATGAAGTGTATCCTGTGCTGTCCTTGCAGTTACCTGCAGTGGTTTTCCCACATATATTCAAGTAATAGTAATACTCCTCTTTGTCATCTTTGGCCAAGTATGGCGTGACATAATCTGAATGAATAACAAAAGGAAAAGTGTTCTAACACACAGCAGAACAGATGTAAAAACCCAAATATCTACAGAGGACATTTTTCCTGTCTCCAGACATGGACCCAGAAAACTGGCTAGTAACACAACAAGCACAAAAGAAAAATAGTTAGCTTACCTGGAAGTTGAGTAAGTGGTCTTAAATCAATGGAGATATCATGTTGCTCGTTAGTCAGAAGACAGCTCTTACTCTCCAGGTAATCTCTGTGACAGGCATACTCAGTAACCCACTCAATTTCATACCGGCAATTTGTTTTTGCTGTGAGTTTGGGACCTGCACTCTGATACAGAAGTGAACAGAATTTAAATTACAAGTAGAGACTTGCAAACGTTGCCTCTGATCTCTCAGAAATAGGTGTTGAGAAGAAATAAAACAGCTCTTTAAGTGACGTGGCAAACTACTAGAAGTTTAAACAGAGGTAAAGTATCCAGTGTTAGCAGAACATCAGCAGAAGTGACAGTATTTTAAAAAGCACTTTTTCTTAACATGTCGGCAAAAGCAGAGATATGTGAGTCCAGACTGCTAAGCACAGCTTGGATTGCATTTGCCTCAGAGGAGTCCTCAAAGAGAGGAGCAGAAAGCAAGTGTTCTCTGAAGGCAAAGCAGCCTCAGACACTGGTGTTTTACCAACTTTGATTCCCTCAATCTATGACTGAAAGATGCCCAAGAATACTTTAGCCCACACCTTGGCCAGATTTTTCTGTAGTGAAATATTTTTGCACCTCTGGGGAAGGGGTAGTCTTGGTTTTCCTCACTCTAAAGTGAAACATTTAGAAATTCACTTTGTTTCACAAACATGTATCTCTGCCATCCACTAAAACACAGGTATCAGATAAGTTACGGGCACAAGTAACATTAGTAATAGGTGTAGTTGGTAATAGTAGTAAAACTACTCATACAACAAGTGTGCATAGCTGCAGTAGGGTATTTAGGGAAAGGTCTGTGGTTTGTTTCTGCACCAATGAGGATAAAGTACGGTACCTATTTAGGTCAGACAACAGCTACAAGCATGCCCTGCCTGACTGATGATGGAAGAGTGCTCAGGAGCAAGGAAAGCTCTGTGCCAAGGATTAACACTGTACTAACTCCATTCTAGTCTCACAGAAAAGCTCAGAATCCAGAAAAGGGCAACCAAATTCACCAAAATGAGAAAGAACACACCTCTAGGGAAATTTTACTCAAGTTCTTGTTTATTTCTTAAATTCTAGGAGACCTTTTGAAGAGTATATTTAGGATCACACACTTCACAAGCTGCAAGCCAGGAGGATTTCTGTTCCCTTCAGCCCTCAATAAAAATGAAAGATAATGCACACAAAAGTTAAAGACAAACCATATAACACAAACTAAAACAGAAAAGTTACCTCTTCTCCTCTCTTTGATGGGCAAACAAAAGTGATCGTCACTGCTGGGTTATGGCCTAGGCAGAAGTCTGGCTTTTGTTCATCACCGTATATTCTCTCATAACTCAATACCAGCCTATAAACAGAAAACAGCAAACCAAAAATACAATCAAGACACCATGCAGTGTACAGAGGAAAGAGACTCTTGAAAGAACACCTGCTCTTTGCTGGATACCCAGGCAGACTGCATGAAAGTAGCCTTTATCCTGAAAGCTACTTTTACGGATGTCTTTGTTCTTTTAATCTTACAGTTAAACAAAATAAAGACTAAGTCCCAGCAAAATCAAGTGATACAGTATCCTCTGGCACCCCAGTTAAGACCATGTTTGATGCCTTTTAACTCATATAGGAATGGGAACTCAGCTGATAGCCACAAGAACACTTTAGCTTTGCTCTCAGACAGCTGGAGAGCAGGCATGATAAACTCTTCCAACTTTTGGAAGAAACACTCATGTTTTGCCACATTCCTGTACTTTACCACCTCTGTACGTGTATAATCTTTTTCCATCCGGCTCCCAGAATTGAGAGCAAGACAAACTCATTAGCAAACTGACAGGAGCAAGGCAGCTGAGACAGATCAGACAAGGCAGGAGAATGAAACATGCCAACCAATCCACAGGGAGAGAGAAATGGCAAGATGTCTTGGATGAGAAAACAAGGAGACCCCAACAAAACTTCCCAACTAAGCATTACTGCTCTATGCAGTCTAACAAGCAGAACACAACAGCTCACAGAGGGGTGATAGTCTGGTTCCAGGTTAGCCACACCACACCTCTAACTGGCCCCTCTATACCTTAGGACACAGATATACAACCATCTTACTCCCTTCCCAGGCCACCCTAGTCTGATTAAGTGCATAGAATTATTATCCTCAAGCAACGAACAGGTCTTCAAACCCAGCAGGGATAAGATAAAGTTTTCTCACCAAGCACTGTTATAGAGTACTGGTTGCACTTTAATATGAGAACAAGCCTATGCTTCCTCAGATGTAAGCTTCTGCCTGGGTACAGAACACCTCAGCCACTTGTTTCATGCTGAGGGAAAAGCCCTGCAACAAAGGACTAACACCTTCTTTTGTAAACTAAAAGAAAACCCTCAACCTTGCCACTGATACTGCAGAAGTCAACAGGGAATGACTGACCCTACAGACAAGGTAAGGAGGCTCAGATGACCTGAAACTCAAAACGATCAGCATGTTAAGCAAGTCCTCTGAGGCACACTGGGTTGTTTGGGTGGGTTTTGGTGGGGTTTTTTTTGGTTGGGTTGGAGGTTTGTTTGGGGGTTTTTTGTTTGTTTGGGATTTTTTGTTTTGGTTTGGTTTTGTTGTTTTCATTCAAGCTACACTTTCAGCACAAAAGGCAGCAAACAGAACAGAGGCAGCATTAAGGAAACTCTTTCTCTTAGTCTCAGCTCTGCCACCACCAGGAACAGTAAGCCTTACATTGCTTATCTATTTCTTCTATTAAGAACTCATTAATGCAAAAATACCAAACGCAATATCTGGCCCTATTCTCAACTTTTAAAGTACTCCTGGGCAGTAGAGTGAGCCAAATACAGTGTGTAAACCCCCACAGAGAGCCAAGTGCATTTACTGTGTGGGCCCTCAAGTCAGCAGGCAGATGGGGTCAAACCTCTCTTCTGCTTGTGGGCAGAGAGCAACAATCACCTCTCACTTAGAGTTTTGCAATTCTGTAAAAAAGAGTCTCTCACAATGAAGAAAATTTGATCTGTATGGCAGCACAAGAGGATGCCTGAAAAAGACTCTACCCTGCCAGTATTTGAAGAATACTTTGAAGTGGTATTGACGCAAAGTTTCAGAAGACTCAACAGTTACCAAGATTGTTTTTTCCAGCCCCAATGAGTGAGGAGTGCCCAGAGAAGTATCACCACTAAAGTTACATACCTATCTTTGTTATGAAGTTTCAGCTGTTCCTCTGGATGGCCAACATCATATGCCTGACCTTTGTGTATCAAGCAAGCAGCACTGCCAGCAGGGCAGTTTTTGGTCTCTTCACTTGATCCACTTGAACTTCCTGTTGTAGAACATAGAAAATAGAATATAGGACTCTGTTTCTACGCCTTGCCCTGCCTGAAGTATCTTGCCATTTTATCTATGGGCTCACTTAGCATTCATTGCTTTACCCTTTTCTAAAGATACCTTTAAAACTGGTGACACTAAAATGTGAAACTGGCAAGACAAAATCTTGTGGTAGTTCATGCTGCCCTGGCTTTGGACAGCAAATTCATCCTTCCTGCCAAAATAGTGGCAGCTATTCTTTACATATACAGCTCCCAACTGACATAAAAGTGCTTATGGGCTCACTTAGCATTCATTGCTTTACCCTTTTCTAAAGATACCTTTAAAACTGGTGACACTAAAATGTGAAACTGGCAAGACAAAATCTTGTGGTAGTTCATGCTGCCCTGGCTTTGGACAGCAAATTCATCCTTCCTGCCAAAATAGTGGCAGCTATTCTTTACATATACAGCTCCCAACTGACATGAAAGTGCTAGCTATGCACCATTACCTCCCCAAGCACCTAACACTATTTTAGATGCATCTTGGGGCACTCACTTGGAACAAAGCAACAGCCTGAACTGGAGCCCAAAGTAATGAATTTAGAGCACATGAAATGATAAGAACCACCTTGGTCCTAATTGGCAGCAAACAGAAGCAGCTACAAGACAAGCTGAGCTGTTTCACTCAGTCCAGTTTAAGTCAACTTTTCTAACACTACCTGCCCACCCAGAAGGGGCTGATCTCCAAACACCTCAATAGTTGGAAGGTAAGATCTGGCTTTGCAGAAAGTAGCCTTCAAATCATCAAAAGTAGCTTGAGACAACAGTGTGAGTCCTAAAATCCTGATCTTTGGTCATAGGACAAGCTCATCTGAGGCACTGGGAAAAAACCACACTACTAGAAATTGATACAGCAACAGGTGACACAAGCAAATGTTCACACCTAGGTCCCTACAGACGTTTATGAACAAGGAATCATCATCATCAGAATCATCCACCAAGTACTGTCCTGAAACTTGGATGAGAGGATTCAAGTCATGTTTCCTCAAATCTTCATCAAACACATAGCAAGGGACCTAGAACAACAACAAAAAAATTACATGCAAAACATGCTACACAAGTAGAAAGAAGTTATGAACAGACATATATAAAGCCAAGTTAATATGTGGAAAAGGTTTTTGCTTCTGGAAACTCAAACACTTAAAGCTAGACATGCTGACTAAAATGAGGTATCCAAAGTTAGACTGTTCTGGTCTAGCTTTTACAGGAGTTTTACTATAAAAAACTATCCAGGTTACAAAAAAAGGTTCAAGAGTTACTTAAAATTCTCAGCTCCACCAACTTCCAACAGATGTTTCATATGGCTATGAAAAAGTTAGGTTTATAGAGGTTGTTGGAATTCATTTGGAACGGGGGCAGGTGGTTACAGTAAAATTGGCAGATGTGTAAAGAGTAACTTATGCATGGACAGAGCATAGATTACCTCTTTCACAGGTTTAAACAAGTTCTTCTTGCAAGCCACAAAGGTCCTCCATTCAAAATAGTGCACACACTCTGTTGCTGTTACAAATTCAGGGGTACCCTATTTAACAGAAAAAAAAATTATTTGAAAAGCAGACTTCAGTTTTATTTCACATTTGTAGACAGCAAGAATTTCATTGAAGAGGTTAAGAAAAACAGAATACAGCATGTCACAGAGCAAGGGCATATAGTTTCTTAACAGCAAGTTTGTTATTTAGCAGCTTTGTTGGCAAACTCAGGAAGATACAGCGTGCCAAATCCTTCTCAGTCTGCACATGCACCAATTCTCAAATTAACATGTGCCAGTCCTAATATGCAGTAATTGCAGCACATCTTTTAGAAGTGCTCACTATGCCAAGTGATAATGGCAGAAGCACCGGTCACATCTAGTTACTAGAAAGGAAAACACCAATAGAAGTGTGTATAAATAGATGAACAGCAAGGCAATACATGGTTTACCAGTTCCCTGTCTTTTATTCTACAAAGACAACTTTTTAGCAATCCCTTCTGCTACATAGAAAGAACAACTCTGATCTCAGCTACTTATTTTTATAGGCTCATGTTATACACACTTGTATCTATTTCAAGATGGGGGTTCTGCCATAGTTCAGGGCTGGATGCTCAACTGAACATCTCTACTTAGAGGAAGACAACAATCAGATTTTTCTGTTCTCCGTCTATTACCTCAGCCAGAAGCACCTTAGCACATTTAAACTGATTCCCTCCCCTTTTAACCCTGACATAAAATGTTGGAAACAAGTTGTTCCAGACACTATTACAAAATTCTTTTACTAGGTCACATAAAAATAGGTGTTAGAACTACGCTAACTAGAAAAAGTTTGAAGATCTCTATGATCTGGTGCTACAGCTCGAGTTGAACAACAATTTTTAATTTAGTTTGAGTCATCTGTTGAAACCGAATAGGAAACATTTAAATCTCTCTGCTGCTCTGGCACTTTGTTTGAATTGGCTAGGTTTCAAAGAGGCCATGTGCAACACAACCACCAGTGCCAACAGCGGCACTAAGGACTGGTCTCTGACACACATATGTAAACCGATCGCAGTTTGCAGAGAATACCAAGCTGTGCTATCAGTTAAGTGTGTGGAAGGTGGAACTCCAAAAGCACATGCAGGTGAACTGCATACACACATGCACCTGAGAACTTTTCAGGGATCTCCACTCACACTTCAAGCAGATTCTCATTAACAACCACTCCCTGAGAAGCCCAGCTGGACACGTAAGCACCATTAGTTCAACTATGTGCAGACAAAACGCTTACTGTTTCCAGCTATGCTGACCCATAACAGAGGTCAGTCATTTTCTTCAATGCTGTTCTATTAAACAGCCGTGAAAGGTCCACAGCTTGGGCACAGCCAGCATTTAAACAACAGCTCTCATTATGACAGCACCCTGTACGCTGTTGACTCATTCTTCCATATTACGCTATTAAAATACTATAGTGCAATCCCCGTAAAAACATTAAAGACATAGAACAGTCTGTGATCAGAGCTAAGCTGCAGATCTACAATTATTTTCTACCGGGACTGAATTTTGAAAGCCACAGTAGATCATGACCTTAATTTGGTACCAAAACATAACTGTCTCCTCCTTAGCCTATGACGCTCAGTAATTAGCACATCCACAAGTGCAGCAAGTCGCCTTAAAAAGCAAGTTAGAAGTACATGTCATTTCTAGTGAAGATAAAAACATGTGATTTGAGACTTACCAGTGTTTTCCCACACAGGAAGTTAATATTGCTCTGAATTTGGTGCTGATTGCCTTGTTGCAAGCAGTTTTGCGTAGTGTTGAATTCCAGAAGAGTTTTAGAAAGTTTTTGCAAATTTAAGTCACCTAGGGTTTAAAAAAAAACAAAACAAAAAACAGAACAGTTATAATAATACAGAGTCTTCACAGAAGCTCAAACAGGTTCTAATTTCAAGCACTGAGCAGCACAAGACATACCAGTCCACTTGAAGACAGCCTTTGAACAGAGTATAACCGAAGACCTTCCTTGCAGTTCTTGTGATTTGGAAGACTAGATCCAAGTTAAGTAGTGTTTGACACCTCTAATCACACTTCTATTTTTCTCAAAGGCTTTTAGCAAACACTTTGAATCTTAAGAAGCCCAACAGCAGGTACTACTACAAACTGGTCACTGCCTTAGGAACAAGGGCAGAAGGACACATCATAAAACTGTTACCAACTAGTTTCAAGTACCACAATTCACTCCATCCTCCCACTAGCTTCTCTTTATCAGCTTCTGAGCCTCTGTGCCACTTATACAAACAGCATCAGCACAATATGAGAAAAAGTCCATCATAGAATCATAGAATGGGAGGGACCTTTAAAGGTCATCTAGTCCAACCCCCCCGCAATGAGCACGGTCATCTTCAACTAGATCAGGTTGCTCACAGCCCCATCCAACCTGGCCTTGAATGTTTCCAGGGATGTGGCAGGTACCACCTCTCTAGACAATCTGCTCCAGTGTTTCACCACCCTCATCATAAAAAGTTTCTTCCTTACATCTAGTCTGAATCTACCCTCTTTTAGTTAAAACCATTACTCACTGTCCTATCACCAGAGGCCCTACTAAAACATCTGTCCCCATCTTTCTCATAAGCTCCCTTTCACCACTGGAAGGCTACTCTAAGGTCTCCCTGAAGCCTTCTCTTCTCCAGGCTGTACAACCCCAACTCTTTCAGCCTGTCCTTGTACGGGAGGTGCTCCAGCCCTCTGACCATCTTCGTAGCCCTCCTCTGGACCTGCTCCAACAGGTCTACATCTTTCCTGTGCTGAGGACCCCAGAGCTGGATGCAGCAATGCAGGGGTCTCACGAGAGCAGAACAGAGGGGGAGAGTCACCTCCCTCAACCTCCTGGTCACACTTCTTTTGATGCAGCCCAGGACACAGTTAGCTTTCTGGGCTCCAAGCACACATTGCTGGCTCTATTTAATCTTAAATCTACTTAATGAAGAACCCACTGGTGTCTGGGCACAGCCACTGCACTGGTGCTGCCCATGGACAAACCCAGCACAGATCCCCCTCCATCTCCCACCCCCTTTAGCACAGCCCATGTGCTGCATGAAGGCTGAGGGCAGTGCTGCATCGCTGTGCATCCCTTTCCTCCCCAGCACCTGACACGAAGGGGAAACGTGAAGCACACTT